AAGTAGAATTGCGACTTTTCGCTGGTCACTCTCCTCGTCTAAACCAGATGCTGTTAAATATAATTTGAATGATTGATACCATTTTCTCCAATTGTTCGCGAGATTACCAGTCATCGTCATATTACTGCATCCCGGCATGTTAATTTTGGTTTTATGTTTTCGTTCTTCTGACTGACCCGACGGATTCATTATAGGTCTTGCACTTCTGACACCATGTTATAATATATAATTATAAATAAGACGACTGTTTGGCTCAGCAATTTTATAATATCGACGTACTGACAAGTATAGACTAAGGACGACAGACATAGACTAACTACTCATATAACAGTATTGTGTATCAGTGAATAAATAAGTATAATATAGCATCTAAGACTATTTTATTGTAATGTTTTTAAATAGTGTGGATCAAAGCGGAGAGTAGGTAAGCGCCGAGTCATCTGTGCGTGTAGTAGGTACCCACACAGGCGACCGCCGGTCGTCGCCCCGACCGGCGCTGATCTCGACTGGAGGCATAAGTATATTAAGTTGCTTTATAACTTCTATGTAGACGTGTTTGAAATGAATAATTACTCATACGGAAGAAATGACAAAAAAATAACCAAATAAAAAATTAAAAAAACGGAAAATTTTATTTTAAAAAATCCGAAAAAAATCAGACATACTCTATACACGTAACCCAACAATCTCACGAAGTTTCATAGAAACATTCAATTTCACCCTGTATATGTACAGTATATGTATTCTATCCGTTACCCTAGCATCCCATAACACAAGCCTTACAGTGCTTACTTTGGCTAGGCTAATTGGTGTGAATGTTGGAAATATTTATTATTATTATTTGTGACATTTTTAACTGCTTTTTTTTGGTCCGGGTTTTGGGCTCCAAAATCCGGGGTTATCACGCGTCTTTTCCTGGTTGCCACATTTTAGAGATGGCAGCCCTATCTAGATACAAACCTAATATAGACACTTAAATGTGGCCACGGATGATTCGTCTGTAGAGGAACTGAACGAATCCATGATACTTATGTCTTAAATTTACACAGAAAGTACTTACACTCTTTCCTTATAAATACACAAACTGCACAAAAGCAAACAATCAAGGACGGTACACAAAATCCATAAAGTACGTACTATTTGTATACTTAACTAAAAACAATCAAAACACTCGTCATTCGTAAGCGTCTCGCTAGTAATAAATAATAATAATAAATAAATATTTCTAACACTCACACCAATTAGCCTAGCCTCAAAGTAAGCACTGTAAGGCTTGTGTTATGGGGTACTAGGGTGTTACCCTAAATAAATATACTTGCATATGTACTAACGGATAGAATACATATGCTGTACATATGCAAGTATATTTGTATAGAAATACATATTAAACATCCTGGAGTACAAATGCTCGTATTCATCACACAAACCATTGCCCCTACCGGGATTCGAACCCCGAGTCGGCGACACCATGAAACCCGGCGTACAAACCACTCTGCCACGGCAGTCGTCAAAAGGAAAAGTAATGAATTGAAAAGATCACACGCGCCGCCAATACATGGCGCCGCTCTGCACTTGTCGGTGTATGTTGGCCCGAGCGAACGTACTTGTAAGAACGCATTTTTAACGAACGAACGACACGGCGCGGTGCCTGCGGCAGTGTTGTCACAGGCGTGGTCGCAGCCTGAAATTTTGGAGAGGGTCACTCACTACACTAATAAGAAAATGGATGAGTGTAACTTATGTACGCGCGTGAGAAGTTATACTTCTTTAGCATCATTAAAAATATTTTTTAATTGCATGCAAATAATTAATAATTACAATAAAATAATAAAAGGACTGGAAAAGGATAGTTAACACAGTCAATTAAGTTCAGTTTTAATTTGAAAAATTAAATAAATATTCAAAATATTCAATTAAAATCACAACTGATGTCTAATAATGGTAGATTATTAACCACTAAGTGGTTAATAATCCACCATTATTAGACACTAACATTCATAACGCGCCCGCGGCCAACTTCATGGTGTTACTATTGTGTTACAGTGATGCGCGCGCATCTCGAAATTTCACTCACATGATTTTTTCATAACGCGCCCGCGGCCAACTTCATGCTGTTACTTTTGGGTTACAGTGATGCGCGCGCATTTAAAAATCACTCTCATCATTTTTTCATAACGCGCCTAAAGAAGTATAACTTCAAAAAAACCGGCCAAATGCGAGTCGCACCAAGGGTTCGTACACACCTGAATTTTCAAAAATATATTTTATTATATGATGTAACTAAAAATTTGCGGATTTCGCAATTTTTCCTTTATCTGTACCATAAGACGTTACTTCGTATCAAATTTCAAGATTCTAAGTTCACGGGAAGTACCCTGTAACGTTGGAGTAAAATATGGGCGGGAAATGGTGCGAACGGCGAACTCATGGCAACCTGTTGCTGACGTTTTTTTTTGTGGTTTATGGCCTGTACTCTATGTATGCTTGACGCATCGTCGCATGGCTCACACAACACATGGCAACGTCGCTCGTCGATATAAAAATAATTCAAAGTGGTGATATGTCAAACTAATTAAAAAATAGGTAGTTTTTAGGTCTAGGGATAGGTAGACTGAAGTGAAAATTGGTAGATCTACCAAAAAGTTGGTAGATATGACAACACTGGTTCTGTGGCCTATTTCCGGTTGGTTTGTTGCGGAATCAAAGTTGAATCTTTGCTTCTGTTTTATTATAAAAACTATATAACTGCGTACTAACGGTGCTGATTGCTGTTTATTCTATGCTGCGTGCATTTATTTATATAATGGATTCTGACAGCAGCGAAAGCGATGCACAGAGTTCTAGGTTAGGAACTCCGCCACGAAAATCTAGAAAAAGGCACCATGACTAAAAATATTCGAAATTATGGGAGAAAGACAAGGAATTTGCAGGTTGGCTTCAAGAAAGTACTAAGGGTGACGGATATTTTTACTGCAAATCATGTAGGTGTGATCTGAAGTGTGCTCTGCATCGCATTGCATGCATTTTTAATCTTAAAAAATCTTTTCTAAATTAAGGTGGTAGATCTACCAATTTTGCATTTTGCATTCTACCAACTTCTACCAACATTTGGCACATAATCTACTAATTTTCTAAAATTCGGGTTGGCAGCACTGGCCTGCGGTATATTTTTGGTAAATAGGATTTAATTAAAATTTAATATTTTTGGTAATACTGGATTAACAATTAACGGACTTGGGATAATTGAACGGAAGTTAACGAGTCCGTTAACATTTTTTAAAGTTAACTTAAAAGTTAAACCGTTAATAGAAAAATTAACTTCGTTAATTAAAGATTAACGGATTAACAAGTTAATACCCAGCTGGGCATTAACTCGTATAGCTATGCGTAAGAACAAACTCACTTTTCACCGACTGTACGTTTCTTACTCATGTGCTTTTCGCCGCAGAATTCGCCGGAGTGATTTGAAATCAATCAATCAAAATAATTTATTCAGTTTAGGCTGTTACAAGCACTCATGATGTCTAGATGAAGCTACGCCATCGGTTCGTAAATCTACGGCGGGAGACCTTGTACTGAGAAGAACCGGCAAGAAACTCAGCAAGGGCAGTTTTTTTTCTCCCTGTTTTATTATTTACAGAGTCGTCAAATTGAAAAATGACTTCAGAGATGATTCATGAAGTCACCTTTCATTACATAATTATTAAATATACATTAATTGTTGACCTGCATTTTGATTGCTGTGTCATACAGTATAAATATAAATATTTGAAATTCGTGTTGTAATTTAAAATCACAATCACATATTTTTTTCTTATTAGTTTTTACTCCAACAATATCTATTTATGGTTAATACAGAAACTCAGAGCAATTACAGACAGTAAAGATTTATGTTGTGCATAATAAACCATATTTTTTTGTGTTTATTAAAAAACTGTATAAAGCTCCTGTCATGTTTAAAATACGTAAGTGATGTTATCAAACGAAATTTGTGCATTTATTGAAGTGTTAATCGGCTCCTTTAAATTCTGAATAACAATTAACACATTTATCAAGTTAAATGTCTTTCCATCAATCGCTTGATTTTTACTATATTTTTCAACAAGAACCAAATTTTATCAGTAGCAGATAACAATTTTTTATTACCTGTAACTTATCAGATGGGATCACCAGATAACGATTTTTATCTAATTATCTTAATTAAATTTTGGTTGGTTTTGCAAATTCACTAAATATTTTGATAAAAGATGATAAGTATACAAATTAAAAAGGTAAAATTGTTATTAAATTGATGTAAGTCCCTCTGGGGGGTCACGTAAGTACGTAAGTATTGGCATAGACTTAATGTAAGTATATTTTGACAAAACTGCCTAAATAGATTAGCCTTATTTTATTAAGACACAGTTATATTATATGTATAACAGCTGCACTAAAAGAAGTCAGTTAACTCTTTAGTTTGACTAAAGTTTATGCTGTCACTTTCTTTGTGATAACAATAGAATATAGTAATAAATTTATAGTAATTTTTGAATCTATGAGAATAACTCAAAACTGGGATTAATGAAGCGTTAAATTAATTCGAAGTTTTTGAATATGGCTGTAGAACTTTAAAAAGCTGGTTTTTAAAAACAATAAAAAGACACATACAAATAGACTGTTAAACACTCTGTCTGCTGTCGCGCTTCGCGCTCTTGCATTGCGCAGTCGGGTAAAAATAGATTTGAAATGTAATTTCTTCCAACTTGGACTCTTTGACTCCGGAGTTAGTGAAATATATCAATGAATCTGTTTATAAATTCTATCAAATTGACATAATGTTGATTACAAACGCACGTCCCGTCTGTATCTCCAGCCGTTTGCATTCACCAATTCGCACTGGGCCCTCGTGTTGGATCAAGGCCTGTTCTTCCTGTCCGGTCCACAGAGAAGGCCCATGGTTTAGCAGTGTGGACATGAATAGCCTGATGATGATGATCCTACATTGATAATAGAATACTTACTTTAATTTCCAAAATTTTATTCCATTCCGGAGTAAGGAAAAACAAAATTCCTTTGCCGGCTCCTGGTAAAGTAACAGACCTATAGAACAAACGTATAAAGTTTTAGTATATTTATTGAAAAGTTAAGTGAATGGTTGTTATGTACTTTCAAGTCGTAAGAAGTCTCACCTTATTAGTAATATAAACATAATGATATATGGAAATATGGCCAAGAAGTAAGCAGCTTTTCCTGAACTTTTTACACCGCGTGCCACGATGACAAAAATTATAATCCATGATGCCAATAAACATAATGTTAAATCCCATAACGGTGCACCTGCAAATGTTAAATTATTTTACACGATTACTTATTTACATGCATGCCAAAAAAGCTTAAGTCAACAAGGAACACTTATTCGCCACGTCTGTCTGCGTGGTCACAGCTTAAGTCAAGGCTTTTAGTTATTAATTTGATGAAATTTTACAATAAACAAACGTTATAAAATTTGTAATTTGGCATGAAAAAATTCAAGAGATATTTTTAATTTTAAATAGGAGGTAAGTCCTACTAGTAATTTGGCTTACCAATTCCATCGTGGATCCCATTAGACTGCTTTAGGACTGTTTCTCTACAAAGCAATCGAAGTGATTAATTTAATCCTTAATTTGCTATTTTATTACTAATAATAAGTATCTACCATTAGCACCAATACTTCACTATTATTAATATAAATGATATATTGATTGTCGTTATCTAGCAAGATACTTTAAGTGATGGTATTATAGGAATTATACGCATAGTGTATTAAACAGATTATCTCTTTAATAAAAAAAGATACAGAAGATCTTTATCGTTTCTACAAAATTTTAATTGCAATTTTTATATCTATCTATATGATAATTATTCAACTGATCAACAACTTAAGAAATTATGAGCGGTAGGGTCAGTTGGTATGCGAAGTTAATGTTAATTGTGCTGCGTTTCCACTTAGTGCTCAGAACAGTTCTGAGCGAGCTAACATATTTTCGCTGGTAAAATAAAAAGAAAGGTTGGCAACAAAATAATGTTGCGTTGTTTCCATGCAGTCATCAAGCAAGAGAGCATTCGTTTTCTGTGTTCATTCAAACATCGTTGTTCGCTCGCTGTGGTGTTTCCATTTACCGAAACATGTGCTCGATCAGAACTGTTCTGAGCTAAAATAGGAAACACAGCATAAGTTACGGTTACTTACGTAAAGTATAATTGTGCACTGCTTGTTAGATTACCATCAAAGTCTGCAGGAGGAGGCTGTCCTGATGGTACGCAACTTTCGAATTGTTTCCACTCAGGATTGCAAAGTGCCCAAGGTAATGTGGTTTGAAAGCTCATGGCCAAGTAATATAGACATAAGGCGATGATGGAAACGTAGTATGATAATACGTAAGAAGCGCCCAAAGCTTGGGCATAACCAGTACCTAAAATATTGAAGTTAATACATAGTCACAAGAAATGCTTAAGTATTTATGCAACTACTATGTAATTGGCAGTGTGGATAGCGATTTTGATCATGTACCTATATTTGAGATATAGTATTGTACCTTATCTATTTTAGCAAATACCTACCATATCCAAATTATCGAATACCTATTCAGTACCGATACGAAATAACTGATAAACTAATAAAAAAACTTAGAAACTGAGTGGTATGAGTTCGTAAGAGTAGGTATTCACAGTTACCTAGAGTTTAGAAATTGAGAGAATTGTATCAAGAGATTATAACAAAAGATAAATAGAAATAATCTTTATTAGCAATTGCTTTGCATACCTTTCATGGCTGGTGAGAGCGCCCATATTTTGACACAGTTACTGCTGCTGAACTGTCCAAGAACGGTCTCTAGAAAATACATAGGCTTTCCTATAACGAGCAGGACAATGATGTAGGGTATGAGAAATGCTCCGCCGCCATTCTGGTATGCCACGAAGGGAAAACGCCACACGTTGCCTAATCCCACCGATGTGGCGATGCATGACATTAAGAATTCAGTCTGGTTGTCCCATTTTGGTCGCTCTACGGAACGATCTTCTGTTGATATCTGCCGGCAAACATAATAAAAAAATACTCATTATTATGTTATGGTGCAATGCATATCGTCGTTGCGACTTCAAGACCTCCTATGTATCATTTTTGTCGAAATACCTTTTTTATACGGGTTTATTTCAAATTTTGGCGCTACATCGAAAGCAAGAACTGTCGTGTGAATAAGTCTTTTCAATTTCTATTTATTTACTTTATTCAATATATCCTAAGTGCTTGCTCAAGTAAAGTTGGCATTTAAAATATCGTATGTGTAAAAGCACTATATAGGTAAAAATTGTTATTGGTCAAATTTTCAAACTAACTAACCAATAGAAGCACTGGAATGAGAGGGATGCATAGGTCGCGTGATTATTTTCCGATTGTAGGTGTTAGATGGGGGTAGAAATATAAAAATTACGTTAGTTTCGACGGGTTCTCGCTCTGTGGTTATAACAGTCGATGTGCAAAGTGTATTGCTTGCTCCAAAGCTATTGGCAAGTGCCCTGTTCTATAAATTGAAGTTACAATGTCATAATTTCACTGTTTATGATGTTTTATCTAAAAATGTATCAATTTACTGCGGGCACAAAGCAGACGGTAATGTAACTGCTAATGAATTTACATCTTGCTTAAAAGACCATTGTCAAAATTTACCAACTACGATTGAGTGTATTATTATTTTTATGTTTGTAGAACAGAAACCGAATTTCCTCGAGTGCAGTGAGTGTGATTTAGCACAACGAAGGCAATTGAATATCGAACAACTCTATTTAGAGAAAGGGCATCAATGATCTGCTCCTTACTCCCGGTATCTTTGGGTATGCAGACGACAGCATAGTCTCGGAGAGATACCTGCCTGATGTGAAGTCTGATGCATGTGGAGGGATTGAATGCAACCCTGGAAGCTGTTTCCCACTGGGGTGAAGCCAACTTGGTTGGATTCAATTCCTTTAAAACAGAGGCCTGTCTCTTCTCGGCGAAACGGAGTCCATTCCATCTGACTCCGACTTTCCGAAATGTGCCGGTTACAGACCATCTCGAGTTCTTAAGTCTGGACATCTCATTCAGCCTCAATTTCGGTCGCTACATCGAGTCCATTGCTAAAACCGCTGCCAATAAACTTGGAATACTTTCTAAGGTCAGGCGACATTTTACATCTGAGCAGCCCCTTAACCTTTAAAGAGCCGAAGTTCGCTCCTGCTTGGAGTACTGTTGTCACCTTTGGAATGGATCTGCTCGGTATCAGCTGGATGCACTGGACTCGGTATACCATGCGAAGAGACTCATAGGCAATGACGCTCTCATTGAGGCTAATCTCCAGAGCCTTGACCACCGAAAACGTGTAGCTTGCCTGTGTTTTATCGGTTACATTTCGGAGAGTGTGCGGAGGTACTACACAATTTGATTCCCCCTTCCCCTTTCCACCACCGGACGACCAGGCGCGGCGAGGGCTTCACCCTTATGTTATCCAAGTTCCTCCCATTTGCACGAAGCGATTTACTTCCGCTTTCATTATGCGAACGGCTAGGGAGTGGAACTCCTTACCAAGGTCTGTTTTCCCGGACCAACATAATCTGGACATCTTTAAGGCCAGAGTGAACAGGCATCTTCTAGGCAGGCGTGTACCATCCTAGGCCTCATCATCGCTTTCCATCAGGCGAGATTTTGGTCAACGCCTTTCCTATTAAACATAAAAAAGGTAAATTTTAAAAATCAAAAAACCCGACTGCTTAATTATACTTCAAATAAAAACTGAAAAGAAAAAAACAAGTCCAGTAGTCTATAATTCTGTTAATAAGGAACAAAGCTACTTTAACAGTCGGGACCCATTAGATATTCAAGAATACATAATATTTTTCCATAATGGGTCCCGACTGTTAAAGTAGCTTTGTTCCTTATTAACAGAATTATAGACTACTGGACTTGTTTTTTTCTTTTCAGTTTTTATTTGAAGTATAATTAAGCAGTCGGGTTTTTTGATTTTTAAAATTTACCGTTTTTATTTCACACTTTTTAGTTAGTTAGTATTTTAAGACGGTATATACCGTAGTCTTGTTACTTCAGTACAGGAATTAATATCGCGGGAATTATTAAATACGTTGGTCTAAAAGATTGATTTATTAAGACATATAGAGACTTTACCAGCGGGGTCAAGGCTACAGATGGGCCTCAATTTTCGCAAAAATATGTGAAGTTAAATCAAGTCGTTACATAAATATCTCTAATGTATGTAAATTTTATAGTAAACTAGCACTTACTCAAAAAGTCATCTTTTGTTTAAGTTTTTTTTAAAAGTTTAGCAGTAAATATAAAATTCATTTACTTTTATTCGTCGACTATTTAAAATTGGCAGTGGCTGCATTGTCATGTTAATGCCGGACGTCTAAGATTGTGACATACACAAATGCAGTGTCAGTCCCTAGTCTCATAATTTGATATACCTACATAATTCACAGAAACCCAATATGTAGATGCCAGAAGTTAACTTCAAATGTTTTTAATCACCCTATATACAATACCAATCAATGACGTTTATGTCGCAGGTTGAAGAAAGCAGTAATTCCCGTTTGTTGTTTTGGACAATGGTGGCAACTGCCTTAGATCACTAAATTTAATAATTATGCAATCACCAAAGCAAAGTTTATAATATTTGATTAAACTAAAGGCGCATAATAAAATTTTCATAACGTTAGGTAGAGCACCATAGCAATCTCATTTATTATCAATTTATAGTTCTCTTTGTAGTTTTATTTTAAAGCGTTCACATATAACAGGTCAAAGACTTTGTGATCGACCCTTTTTTATTGGTAGTGTAAAGCTTGAATGAAGAGTACTCCCAGTAGGGCAATCATGGCAATTATTTTCCAAATTTTTTTTTGTTTAAAGAAATACCGAATAACGTATCACTGTTAAGCACAAATGCTAAGTAACTTTTACAAATATAATCAAATAAACCTAATACTTACTTTATTTTTAAATCTTTTTCATCAATTAAATACTTATCATATCCTAACTATCTATACTAATATTATAAAGAGGCAAGATTTGTATGTTTGTAACAAATAATCTGTCAAACTACTGAACCGGTTTCAAATATTAATTCATCATAAGGTAGCTACATTATTTATTATTATTCTTTATTTAAATACATTTTGTCCGAGTGACATAGGATGAAATATATCCCGATAAATAAATTTCGCCCGTACAATGCCCGGGTGGATCACTAGTAAGTATAATATAATATTATAGATGTGAAAGTGAGTTTGTTTGTTGCGCTTCCGTGCCCTTATAGCTAAATCGAATATAATGAATTCCCATATAGAAGTAGATGGGAACTTGGTTCTTAGTACAACATCTCAATACTTATTGGCGTAGGGTGATGAAAGGGGTGATTTACCAATAAAAATCTACATTATTTACTTTGAATTTTGTAGAATTATTACAAAACCAATATTATCGCGAGCTGATTAATAATATAGGGATTCCAATAAGTATGTACTTACTAGCGAGAAATGGGTTATTTGTCATTATATTAAGTAAACTTTTTTTGTAACATTAAGTAATATCGTTAAAAAAATGATTGAAATTAAAAGCGTAAGTGGTTAATATACAACTTTAAAGCGTTGTAGATCCTAAACAATCATATAAAATGAAAAATGGTGTTAGGAACCTTGACATGATTTTCGATTATCTAGACAGTGATATCCCACTCGACATATTTTGTCAACTTATTTTTTTTACTTCGTCACAATATGGCGCCTAATTTTGCCCATATTGAATTTTGATTATTATCATATCTTTAGTAGCACTCCCATGATTGAGACGAATCGATTGATGTATGAATTATCAAAATCGGACCAGGCGTTTGGTCTCTAGTGTGCCACAAAGGAACAAACATACATATATAGACTGTTAAACACATAACCCTGTCTGCGCGTCGCGCTTCGCGCTCTTGCTTTGCGCAGCCGGGTAAAAAGGGCACACTATGATGGAGGTGGACAGTGTTCAGTCCACTATTGAGCAATACATAAAACCAGTATTATATACTATTGTCATTGCAATGATAAATTTTAAAAACAAATAACTTGTATAATTAAATATCATGTGCTTTGAATCTCAATCCCTTTTACATATTTATATAGGGTGAAATTGAATGTTTCTATGAAACTTCGTGAGGTTGTTGGGTTATGTGTATAGAGTATGCCTGTTTTTTTTCGGATTTTTTTGAAGTTTATTTTTTTTATGTATTTATTTATAATTTGTGTATTTTTATGTCCTTTCCTCCTTTTGAGTAGTTATTCATTTTAAACAAACAAACTTACATATCCAGTGAAAAACAACTAATAAATAAGCACTTCTAAAAAACGGGAAAACATTAAATTCCACCGCGGGTCAACGACCGACCGCGCCCGCCAGCCGCTGAGTGAGTAGGTACCTACCTCTACACAGAGCTCAGCTGACTCGTTTGATTCCACACAATACAATAAAATCGTCTTAGATGCCTTTATTGAAATTGAAATAATAAGCACAAATGTCATCTTCTCTTAAGCAGAGAAAAACTTTAAAAGTTAATAATAATTTTGTCACGATTGGAAATAGGCAAATGTTAAACAAAAAGAAATACTTATTGCAGTTCAATACTTGGGTCAGAATGAAATTTATAACCCGGTATTCAAAAGTACTTACGAGACCGGCGATGTAGGTAGGTACAACGAGGAACGAGGAACATATTCATTTTTTTCACTAGAACTTTTTATCAAATCAATCATACTGGTAGTACACAATTAGTTGTTTCTAATCAAAAAGTATTTACACTAGCAATAAAAAGAGACTTAAATTATTATCTGCAAAATTGTTGCTCTAAACCACCATTTTGCTGCAAACAAAGGTAGGCATGTTTGCGGACGTGTCTTTTCACCTTTTTTAAAGTGTCCCTATCACTACTCACTGCACAAAATGCAACTTCTATGGTTTGGGGACTCATTCGTAAACCAAACCTACTTCGTCACACTCGCG